AGAGCAGAAGTTCTTAATTTTGATGAAGTCTAACTTATCAATTTTTGATGATTTTTAAAATTTCAATAAATTTAGGGGCACAGTGTTTTTTGTTACCTGGGTGAATTGTAGCATGCCACAGTGTACCTGTCACCCAATACTGTACATTATACCCAATAGATAGCTTTTTTATCCTTCATCCCCCCTCAACTTTTTATCTTCTATAGATCTAGGTATCTACTTTCTCAAAATACATTTTAAATGTATTACACTACAATTCTCTAGTTGCCCTCCTGGGCCAGTTATTAACTGATTGCCTCTCAGCTCCCATTCATATTTCTTGCCTGCTCTGTGAAAATAGAGATGGACCCTTTAATTCTTTTTCTCTTTGTTCTCGGGCATGACGTTAAGTTTTGTCAATAGATGGCACTGGAGGGACACTGCAAGAGGGAAGGGATTTGCTCCCTGGTTCTGGTGTACTAACTAGTCCAGCAGCCTCCTGCCGCAAACTTGGCTTCACCAATGCCAGGCTCCTGCAGTCCACACAGCTTCTCCCCTGCAGGGCTCCATCAGCACTCAGTGGCCAGTAGCTTCCTCCAGCATTGCCTCCCCCTCAGGTGGTTTTGTAGCAGAGTGTCTCTAGTGAGACACCGCCCTGTGAATGGCTTTCCCTGGCACCACTGATGCAGCACCACAGTGACTTCCTGACTGTGCCATACCTGTGCTCCCTGCAGCAGGATCTGGGCCGCAGCCCAGGAGTGGAAAGGGCCTCTTATTGGGAGTTCTATCTCAGCCCCAGGTATCTACTATCATGTATAATATTATAGTGATCATATCTGCTATTTTTTAAATTATATCTGCTCTTTTAAAAAATCTTTAGAGTTCCATTTTTTTACTTGCCCACAGGTTGACAAACCATGAACCAAATGCCAAATCCACCCATTGTCTGTTTTTGTAAATAAAGTTTTATTGAAACACGACCATGCTCATTTGTCTACATATTATCTATGGGCACTTTCACATTACAATGGCAGAATTGAGTAGCTGCAACAGAGACTGTTTGCCTCCTAAATCCTAAAACATTTGTTTTTCTTTTCAGAAAAA